CGACTCCCATGCCGGAGGCCGACGGCTTTCCTGGCGTGCGGACCCACCAGGATCTGTACGAGTTCTCGCTGCGGGAGCCCGACACTTTCTGGGGAACCCTCGCCAAGTCCCGGCTGCAGTGGTTCAGGTCCTTCGACCGCGTGAGTGACTGTGACATGTCGGAAGGGAGGATAAAATGGTTTCTTGGAGGCCAGCTCAACGTCTCAGGTATGGGAGAACAACTACAACAAAAGTTCAGCAGCGTCGGCCAGCATGTAGCGTTATGTTGTAACACTCGAAAGTTTCACTTCAGTAAGTTGATCTGTAAACAACAAAATCGTAGGTAGCCTGCGTGGCGATACAGTTTTAGGAGTTATGATGAACCTCGTGAGACGAAAGCAGGAAAAATGTGCTTGCTGGAAATATACTATAAAGATAATTTTGATAACCCATTCCTTGAAAACTAACGTTACCGTCCGTTTACGCGTTTCAGTGGCGATAATTTATTGCAGGCCTCTCTGTCCAGAACGGCTACCGCCCCCTCCCGCTTGTTTGTTTGGTGTCCACGCCCCCAATGTAGGATTTGGCAGCAAAACTGGAAACATTTGCATCATTATTGGTGTTTCCAGCGTCTACAACCGGTGCAAAAATATCCCATAGTAAGATCCTATCTTTTCAGGCGGTTACCATTTACTAATGATTTAGACAGTCAACTTGACCTTCCTGTCAGTCTCCCCCCTTTTATTCTCACAGGAACCATTAAACATTGTGAAATTGTTTGCAAAGCCCGGAGTGGGAAGGGAGAAAATTTATAATGTTATAAATTTTGTAACAAAGTCTATTTTTTTTGTAGCAGCATTTGGTAAGTTGCTATGGTCCCAGCATTATTCCCAGCAACCTGCATATTAACTTTACTATAAATCTTTCATCATCATCATAAATCTTTAACCAGTATATAACGTTAACTTATAACAATACCGGTACTTTCTTTTTGTTATAATTTACAGTAAATACCTTGGACAGACATGCGCAGAAGACACCAGACAAGGCAGCCCTGATTTGGGAGAGGGATGAACCAGGCAGTGAAGTCAGGGTCACATACAGGTGAGTCTTTATCCACTACCTCAAAGTCTGTTTGGTAACGGTAGCCAGTTTGGAACCAGGCATCACGGATACATATAATGGCAATTTATTATGTTTGCTTTGTTTGCAGCTCTAAAGGTCATTTTTTTGCAAGTTGCCAGACTCTGAAACAGCTGCCATGTTTACTTTGAGGTTGTTAACTGGATTACCAGGCAGTAGAAATCAAGAAAAGGAAGTACATGTATGATTCGCAAAGTTCGATGTTCCTTCCATAGTAATAGTATCACAAGGATTGGTAATTTGTCCAAATCTGTTTGTTCATTTTAAAAAAGTGCTTATCATGGTTGAATGTTGTCAGAAATTGTTTATTTTAGTTTAATTTAGTATTATATTTTGCTTTATTTTACAGCATTTCACTTTACTTACCTCACTGGCTGTTAGCTATGTTACTATGGACTGATCTCGTAGCCTCGCCTATCTCCATTGAAACATTGAAATACAGAGCACTGCAAATTTCTGACAGACTTGCAGCCACACTCTCATTAATTATACGTACTTACCACTTATTGGTATGTGATCATTGGTTGAACTGCTAATTGTGATGGACAGTCAGGATCAATCTGTATTACCAAGGAAACTTACAAGCATCACCCACAATTCTTCCCTTTCCTATTCTGTAGGGAACTCCTAGCTATGACATGTCAGCTGGCCAACACCTTGAAGAGCCATGGAGTGAAGAAGGGAGACAGAGTGTGCATTTACATGCCCAACTCACCCATAGCTGTGGCAGCCATGCAGGCATGCGCACGCATTGGAGCTCCTCATAGGTGAGACACAGTAGTCAATAGTCAGGGGCATGTTTCAGCTTGTTAAAATGGTAATTATTTTGGTTAAAAGAGGTTTTGTTTCAGGTGGCCGAGGTGTGGGTTTGTGCATCTGTTTGACTAGACACAGTAGGTTCACAGCACTTGGGAGGGGGAGATTGGCAGAATGACAGAAAGTCAAAAGGTCAGACACAGGAAATGGGGTGTAATTGTAGGTCATGAAAATACAAAATAAACTAGAAAGGCCAATATTTGCTTTGGAGCAAATACAGCGATGGGTTCACCACATTTTACGACATGGCAGGGAAAGAATGAGAAACACAAGGGAAAACAATGATTTACATTGATATAACTATAATATGAAGTAACATACAACTAAAACAACAGTTGGATAGCTATTCCCTACTTTATTGGTTAGGATTTTTAATTGCATAATGCAAACTGTTGATTTTCAAAATAAATAAAAAAACGTTCATGCCCCGCATTCCAATGCTGGAGCAGAAAAGCTTGAAATACCTACCAAAACACTTGAATAAAGACATACTGTCAGTATGGAAATGCTCTGTGCAGGTGTTAATCAAGTTAAATCCCAACAGCCAATCAGCAAGAAATGCTCTGTGCAGGTGGAAATGCTCTGTGCAGGTGTTAATCAAGTTAAATCCCAACAGCCAATCAGCAAGAAGTATAGAGGAAAGCTGCATGCCTATTGGTTGATGCCCTGCATTCCATTGTGATGACTCATGCCCAGACGTGGTAAACACGGCACACTAACACAGTAATACATTTGCTATAACACAGCCAAAAAACTCAAATAAAACCATTCTAAAAGCCTGTATCACAAAAATTTAAAAAACGCCTAGGGGTATTTGCCCACTGTACCTCCATACCAAATTTCAGGACCTTAGGCCCTAAAATGAAGAAGCTGAATCCATTTAAAAAATGGCAGGAGAAGAAGGAGGAGAAGGAGGAGAAGAAACATCAGAAAAAGCAATATGGGTTCACCACCACTTCGTGGTGTGGTGAACCCATAAAAAACTTTCCAGAAGTCTAAGATCTCCAATTTCTTGTTTTCCAGTGTAGTGTTTGCTGGCTTCAGTGCTGATGCCTTGGCAAGCAGGATCCAAGATGGTAGGATTTCTCATTTTTACTTGCCTCTCAGTGTCTTGATTCAGCTTGAAAAATCAACAACTTATGATCAACCAAGGACTGTCCTTGGATCAACCAAAATCAAGTTTCTAAACTTGCTGTGTAAGGTTTTCTAGTATATCAAACAAGCAACATGATATCTCCACATTTATGCTTCTCAAAATACATAATTGTTTTTGTCCAATATCTAGCTAACTGTGAAACAGTGATCACCACCGACCAGGCGGTGAGGGGAGGCAAAGTGATTGAGTTGAAAAAGACTGTGGACGCTGCCGTGGCTAACTGCCCCATGGTGAAGAGAGTACTGGTAGCACAGAGGACCGGCCAAGAGGTGCCGATGAAACACAACCTGGACTTTCCTCTGGAGGAGGTCTGTTGGCATCACTGTTTAACTTTTAATTGTATTTGGATGATAACTTCTGGGTAAAGAAGTGTTGTTTTGGGTGGCTGAGTTGTGCGTATGTGCGTCTGTTTTTCCAAGTAGTGATGTTTGCGTGGAAGGAGATGATTCCACATTTGCAGTATTCGACTCAGCACAGAACAAATTCAGTTAGTGACAGTTACAGATAAATACCACTCTATGATAAATCAACAACCGTTGGCAATATTGGCCCAGGCTTGTTGAAAGTAATAATTGCATGGTTTGCACCCTTGTTGTAGGAGATGTCCAGCCAGTCTTCAGAGTGTGCCCCAGAGATAATGGACAGTGAGGATCCCCTGTTCATGTTGTACACATCTGGTAGCACAGGGAAACCCAAGGGCATCCTCCACACACAGGCAGGCTACCTGCTGTATGCCACCATGACCTCCAAGGTATATGATACACTCTTACAATATGCCTATCCTGTTTGAAACTTTTCAATGTGACAATGAGTCCACCTAGCAGACATCTGCAGTACTGCAAACTTTAAAGGTCTTGTCGCAGTCTTATTGTTGCAGTGTTTGGCATCAAGCATTGCCCAGATTTTTGATGGAGCTGGCAGCTTTCTTATTAGTCTTAAACCAAAGATTAGAATGTGTAGTACACTGTATTTGTTACATTTTTCTTTTGTCAGTTTGCCTTTGACATCCGTGAAGACGACATCTTCAGCTGTGTGGCAGACATCGGCTGGATTACAGGTCACAGCTATGTCGTCTACGGTCCTCTCAGTAATGGTGCCACCACTGTGCTGTTTGAGAGCATACCCACATATCCCAATCCAGGTATGTGAGACAATGCAGGGTTTTAGCTTTTGCATTTTAGTGTATCTAGCCATCATGCTATTATTTACAACCACTATGCTAAGTTTAGGACCATTTTACGGTATGCTCATTTTCAACAGTGATTTGCTAGTGGTGGGCGACAATTCCTTTAAGTTTGAGTATGGCATGTCATATTTGCTTGTATTTACTTGTGTAATAATTCAGATCAAGTATGAAAAATGTTGAACTGACAAAAAACTCTTACAAGAGAACTGTTCCCTTTATGTAACCTAAGATTGGAAGCTTTTTACCTTACATCAAGAAACCTTGGAAGGTTCATACCCCCCCCTTCTGCATATTCACCCCGATTGGTTGCTATGCTTGGCATGACCATTATGTTGAACTAAAATCTCAGCTAGAGCCTGTACATTATAATATCCCTACCACAGGGCGGTACTGGGAGATGGTGGAGAGACTGAAGATCAACCAGTTCTATCTGGCACCAACCGCCGTCCGCCTGCTGCTCAAGTTTGACGAGTCCTGGGTGAAGAAGTATGACCGATCCACCCTCAGGAAACTGGGCTGTGGTAAGTTTGTTTGTTTGTTTGAACCAAATCAGCCTGCTGGGTGCTTTTCACACAGGTCGTGAGGGGAAGAGGTCAGGGTCACACAAGATACAGATTACAGGATAGACCAAATTTATAATCATTTAGCACACAACTTTTCGGTACTTTGTCACATACTGTGTAGTACTGTGTAGTAAGCATGATCTTTATTTTCACTGTGCTGTTAGTGTAATACAAGTGTTGCAAACTTTGAATTTACATTTATTTATGTTGTTTCCAGTTGGAGAACCGCTGAACGTGGAGGCAGGTGACTGGTACAACAACGTGGTCGGGGAGGGCAGGTGTGACCTGGTGGACACCTGGTGGCAAACAGGTAACTCCAAACTCTCACCTGAAAATATCTGCTCTGTTTTTCTGAACACTCCACAAGAATCCCTCACCAGATGGACCATGCCTTTGATTATGCCAATAAAATTATAATACTTGTCTGATTTTTTGTTTCTTGCTTCTTTTTCCTGGAATTTATTCAGAAACTGGAGGCATCATGATCACCCCGAGACCCTCCCAGCCTGGTGCAGAAATCTTACATGGTCCCATGAGGCCTTTCTTTGGGATTGAACCTGTGCTGTTCAATGACGAGGTAGCGTTAATTTTGACTGGCTACATATGGGTCAGAGAACAGTAAAATACCAGTACTTCTCTTTGTCTAAGCATGTGTTGTAGAAAGTTTGTTAAATGCCACAATGTTCAATTTCATGTTCCTGAAATTTGTATGCAATATATATACATGTGTTGCAATGTGTTTTAAACTAGTTAAGTAGAGGACAACAGGACAATAGTTTGTGTGTTACAGTACTAGTGTAGAGTGTTCAATTCAGCAAAGCTCAGCATATCTGAAATAAGCTATTCCTGTGCAGCTTTTTCTAATCTTATTATAAAGTGATTGACTCTTGCACAGCTCATGCGAATGATTTTAATACTGCTCCTCTGTGATTGCAAATGACCTGCTGCCTGCTGTTGCTTGTTGCTGCCACTGATGATCCACATGCATGTAGCCTGGACCTGAGCAGGTGAAAACCCTCACAAAATCCATTTTGCATGCTAAATTTCAAATATGGTGGAAGACAAAATACATCAAAATTCTATTTCAAACAAGCCTTTTACAAGTACATGTATGAGAAAAGAAGCCACAAAATTCTATCCTAATCTTTCCATGTTTACAGACAAATTTATGTTTGTATGAAAACTTCTCTACTCCTAATATCAAAGAACCCACATATTGTTGGAAAAAGTAGGATATTTTGTCTTCCACTGTTTTGAAATGAGCATTAAGTCTAGCAAATGATATTTTAATGAATAAACTGTTATGCATTGTGTGTCATTTTCATGCTACTTGCAATTAGCCTTTGGGTAAGAATTTGCAATAAACTTATCATTGATTTAATATTAAATTTTATTCATTCATTATAAACCAGTAAAAGTGCAGCAGCATTTATTGTACAACTCAACTTTGTTGTGGGATTTTTCATGAGGCTACAGGACTAGTGGTGTATACAACAAATTTTCTCAAGAAAAAAAGAAATTAAAGAATAGTCAAAACAATTTTAATTCAATTTACTTAAAAGTATTTCAAGCTCTATAATTGTTACATTAAGAATGACTGACTCTTGCAATTTTTCTTTAACTGAAGGGAAAGGAGCTGCCAGGTACAGAGGTATCAGGTGCGCTGTGTGTGAGGAAACCCTGGCCAGGCATCGCTCGGACTATATTCGGAGACCACGAGAGATACCTGGACACATATTTCAGACCCTATCCAGGTAATAACAATTGTGTGGGTATGCTTTCAGATTCATGCAACCAACACTTTCAGCACTGCTCTTCATTTTCCACTTTACGGGTGATGCCATTATTTGACACATCCCCTAACTCGAGAAGGACTTTTTGCTGCTCGTTATTTAGTACACCATGTCTGTAATACAGTATTGGAAATGCATATTCCCTTATGTACAATGGTGATTATGTCTTGAGGACAGGAATAAGTGTTTTATTGTGATCTTCCCATCACAGGGACGTACTTCTCAGGGGACGGAGCTCACAGGGATCACAAAGGTTACTATCACATCACTGGTCGTATGGATGATGTCATCAACATCAGTGGACACAGGATTGGCACAGCAGAGATCGAGGATGCCATGGTAAGGCCATTATTTTTATTAAACTTAATATCCTTGAGAACCTGATACAAGTGGTCGTCTTGGGCACAATGCTTAATACTTGACAGTCGTGGTCAATGAGGAAAATTTTGGGACCGGAAAAACGGTTGTCTTAGGCCGATGGTCGTTTTATGGAAGTGGTCGCTGGACCAAGTTTAGCTGTAGTTTTTTTATAGAGTTAATATTAATTTCTATTACTCCCATATGACATTGTGTCTTATTTCTTCAGGATGAGCATCGTGATGTTGCTGAAACAGCTGTCATTGGAACTCCACATGATGTGAAAGGAGAAGGTACTGTACATGGGGTTTCTTTTAGTTTGTTCTGTTAAGGCCTGCTGGTCACATACATTGTACGATCGCAAACTGAATGAAACTTTGAAATAGCCATGCATGTATCCAGCAAAATTCTTGTTTTGGAATAGGCTGTCTTGTCAGCGGTTGGTGCTGTGACAAAAATTGTGTGACATTCTGTTAATCTCTTTTTGCAAACAGGCTGTTTTGATCCCAGCTTCAGACTAGTGTATAGCTGGACAACATTGTGCCAAGGCTATTATAATTATGTAACATTTCCCTTGAGCAGTTGTGCTTAAAAAGTCATTTTCTGCCCCATATCCCAGTACCATATGCATTTGTGATCTTGAAAGAAGGAGTGCGGCGTGATGAAGAAGACATTGCTAAGGAGCTGAAAGATCTGGTCAGGAAATCCATCGCGGCATACGCAGTTCCTGATACTATTTTGGTAAGAACACTACAACACTAAGGCTGAAATTCCTATACGCCTTCTTCAAATGAAATATAAAAATCTTCAGTTGTACACTGAAATTCATAGAAATTGGAATAATAAAAGTGGAAACTCTTGTTATTTCAGATCACACCTGGCTTACCAAAGACCAGATCTGGGAAGATCATGAGGCGAATCCTGCGCAAGATTTCTACCGACAAAGAAGAGGAGTTGGGAGATGTGTCCACCCTGGCTGAGCCCAGTGTTGTGGATGCTATTGTCCAAAGTCACAAGGCCTACAAGCAAAGGACAACAAGCTAACTTTTACCCCTAACCCAATAGGCTACTCACACTGGATTTTATGAATGAAATGCTGCCACAGGCAAATGACTTTTAACCTGCTTTCTGCTTCAAAGGATTCCTGAATATGACACCAATTTTATCCTTGAATTTTCTTCCCGTTTGATCAGATCCACCATATAAGCAGAGGTACATTTCATCTGACAGGGTATATTTTAGGAGAAGTACTTGCTCTGTTCACACTTCTGCAACATCAATGTGGTTCAGAGCTTAGCCGATTCAACATAGCTTCACTATCTTGAAAAGTTGCCTAAATCTTTGGACTTCTGGGACAGGGGTTTGGAAGTGAACGTCTGGAGCGAAATCGAACAAAATAGTTAAATTTTGGAATCTGATGTCAGTGTAGAATGATATATTTCAGAGGATATAGTCATACTTCAAACTTCAAAAACTAAAAAAAAAACAATGTAGTATTTAAAAAATCTTAGCAATATTAGTTGTAAAGCTCATGGAATAGTTTACAAGCAGAAATGTTTTCAAATGAAATGAAATGAAAATTGCAATCAGCCTTTGTGATGATTGCTCTATTCCAGCAGCAATTGAATCACAAATTTTTGCCTCTTGATCTAAGTATAACTTTGTGCCTATATGTCTTAGTTTGGATTTCTCGTTTGGTTTCAATTGGACATTGCATTCCTGATTTGCATTCATGCAACTAATTCTCACTGTTGAAGTGACCAGTATTTTTTTTATGTTCACTGTTTTGTACTCATAATCTATGATCATGCAATTGTTATCATTTAGCCGAAGTGTGTATGCAGCAGGTTTGATCATACTGTTGTTAATAATGTGATACTAACAACAAATTTATGACAGATTTAACAATCATGACGATTTGTGGTGCCTTCAGTCACATCTGATCTTACAATTGAACATAATTTTTTCATTTTATTTTTTTAAGAAACCAAGTATGATTCATGTACAGTCAAACTTCAGAACACTTGAATCAGGGAACTGTATATTGATACATAATTGTTTTGTAGTTTTTAATGTAATGCAGCAGCCACTGGGCACAGGCTTTATCAAGAGGCCAGTATATACTAACGACGTGTTACGCAAAATGTATACTGTATTTTGATCTCATATAATTGTGTAAGTGATGTAGTGGCTATATAGTTGGAAGAACAAAAATGTAAGAACTAAATGATAAATGACTGTCCGTGTATGATAATGTTTTATATTTTAGGAAGCCAGAAAGAACATCATTTTAGAAACTTTAAGCCATATATAGAACACCAACTATGGCAATGACCCAAATTAACTTAAGATAACAAATTGTTTTCTTGGTTTTCCATTTACCAGTTTTACAAGTAACAGTTACCATTTACATTTTGAATTAAGCCCAAAATAAATAAAATTCATTATTTCCAGAACTATTGTAGAGAGGAACTCTTTGCCACTAACTGCAGTAGGGGTATCCTCACTAGATAGCAGCTAGATGTACAAAGGTTAGGAGTAACAGATCGCTCTATACAATATAACCAGCTGTTGCTGTGCCAAGTGCCTGCAAAGCTGGTTTGTTATGCCAGAGAGTGGTTATAACAGCAGCAGATACAGTATTATAGATTACATGTACTTCTGGAAATACCGTTTACATGTAATTTTTCAGGCTAGATAGAACCAGTTTCAACAAAGGATTCTGAAATTGGTTTGTCCTTCACATGTTTTTCAAGATACAATTTGAACTGTGTAACTTTCTATATTTTTATTCTTAGAATTTATTGTAAGTTGGATGGTGTAAGAATTCATGTAAATAAAAGATTATACATGACTTACACGTGTGTGATTGATGAGGTTTTACTGACATTTATTTCTCCCTTTGATACAGAAATTTTACTATTACCTTCACCAGAACTTTTGTGGTTTTGGTCCCATAGTTCACATAGATATAATATAAAGTAAGTGAATGATAATAAAGCTTTATCTGTGGATAACATGGTAAGTGGTGATTTCTTACTGAAACAACAATGACCACTACAATGAACTGATCTTCCTGAGTAAGTCTAACATAGTGTACAAAAAGTCAAGAATGAGGAAATTCCAATTTTATTTCTTGCTGAAGCTTTTCTTTTTGGTATCCCTACATTTAGATCATCAAACTTTTGGTGCCCCGAATGCATCTGGCATTCTTTCGATGGAATATCTGTAGAAAAAAGATGAAGAAAATGGTGAGTGGCTGATGTCAAAAATAACTGCTCATCATTTTCACTGTGTCTACAACTAAGTTGTACATTGACCCGTAGATAAGTTAAAATGGTAGAAGTGAGTAGAATGTACTAGTATACGAAAGAGCATTAATACATCTACGTGTACAATGTATTTGTAAGTCGTGCAATAAGCCCCCCAACTGACCTGTGTTGTCTGATGTACATGATGGGAACACCGGGGATTCTCCGCAGTCTCCTCTTCAGGTCCTTGTCATTTGTTGCCACTATGTAGCATTTGTGCTAGACATAAAGAAAGACCAATAAAAAGAATGATCCCAGGATTTTGGAAAAACCTTTGAGTTGATGCACTAAAATTATGGCTCCCTCTGATTGTTGTGCACACTATGAGATATTCAGTAAATGGAAAAGATGAAAGCCATAACACAGAATCTTACAGATTCACAGGTACACAAGAAAGAGATGGGTATTTACAATTGAGTTTTTGAATTCTGTGGACATACCTGTGTTACCCTAGCCACCAGGCAGTCATCTGCGTATGTTCCTTTGTGCATGCAGGGAAGCCTCTCAAACCTGGGATCTTTCACAAGCCTACACGTAATAAAAGACATGTCATTACAGAGCTTGAATATCATTTTTGGGAATAGGTGCACTGGTGCACCTCACCTAAAACTTAAGGTTCACAGAAAAAAAATTGGATACACAGCATACAAATGTATATTAAGCAGGTTGTCAGCTCAAACACACCCCAAACAATAGACATCTCTGTACCCAGTAATAATAAACACTATGGGTTACCTCAGTGCTACTCTGTACTTGGGTCCCAGCTTCTCCAACTCACCCATCACACAGTCAGTGATACATGGCACACCTGTTTGCAAACAAACAATGGTTATGCAAAACAAACAACAAACATATACATGGTAGGTAAATTTGACTGTCACCTTGGTACTTCACCACAAAGGCATGAATCATTGTTTTTGGCTTGTCTGTTTGTGTTTCTGCAGTGCAATTTCTGTAGATTCTGCCAGAGGGTGCTTTGCTTCAAAACCTGCTATCTTTGATATAGTCTTCAGCAGCATTACAGTAAACAAACACATCTATAACAGTTACTAGTGACTACATTCAGGCTTGAAGCAAGAAAGAAAAACAAAGTACTGTAAGTGTCTTTAGGTTTGTATCAATTTCCCTTCACAATATGGGACGAATAAAAATTTGTTTGCGATATCTTTTACTTTGTGCCTCAGCACTGTGTTCAATACCATGATAATACCTGAATAATAATATTATTGTTGCTGATGATACCGAAAATGTTGTTGAACAGTTTAAACATACATTTAGCATAGAGACAGTCCATCATGGACTGTACGATATCCAGCTTGTTCTTGATAGAGAAGTTGACGAAGTTGGTGTCCACCAGAACGTAGTAGGGAGGCCCCAGCTGGGTGTTATACTGGAAGAACAGTGCTGAGGAAACCTTGGGCCTGGACAATGGGGGAGAATCACAAAAGTTAGGAATCAATAAATGCGCTGCTTTAATGTACTACATGTAGTATGTACGAGGGCCTGCCTTTGGGGGGGGGGGTAGAGATTACAAATTAAGCAAAATTTTTGCCGCCGATTACGTCGAATTATGTTTAAGTCTCAGACCTGATTACGATTTTATGCTCTGCAGCTAGTGTACTATTACGAATTATGTTGATTTTTTGGGCAGGGCTGCCTATGGATTACGAAGATTATAAAAGGCCTGATTACGCTTTACGAAAAAGGGCATGCAGGCCCCCATGTACTAGTAACGTTAGTAGTAGGCGGATAGAAAATCAGACGCTGGACTGGTGAGTCGAGATTTGAATTGAAAGTCTTACACTTGTCTCTCCACAATCTTGCTCTCGTCTTTGGGTTTCTTCTTTGATTTTCTGCGTTCTTTTTTGTTTCTGCAGGATGCAAGTCAAAGTTAGAATTATGTCACGGTTAGCATTAAACAGTAATTATAAACGAACTGATTGAAAGTAGAGATTCTGACAGTTAGGTATAAGAAAGTACATACACTTTTGATCTACATCACAATGATAGCACACAAAAAATAATGTACAAACCATGAAGTTTAATACAAAGATTTAATTTATTTGTGCCAAGTTACTTATTTCGCACCTACATGTATTCTCATAAATGGATTCCGAGCCCTGAGAAGGGATTCTCAATCTAGTTACTATGATAAACAACAAATCAAGTATTTCATCAGACTTTAAGTTATTTATGATATTATTTAGAAAATCGCAATATTTTTTCTCGGACCCCACGCGGCCGACTCACATTCTACTGTCCCTCGGGTTGATCCTCCTCTTCATCTCAGCAAACTTCGGCGCTGGCCTGGATCTAGACTTCCCCTGTGGAACAAACATGTTACCAAGACATTAGAGATACAAAATAACTCGAAATTGTGTATTATACAGTTTAATTTAGGTTAAAATTATATGTGCTTCATTTACCATGATCACGTTTGGCAGAGTCCACACATGTACCGCCTACGTCATCTTGGGTGAAACCATTCAGATATGTGTTGCTTCTAAGTTTTTAAATGATTTATAAGAAAATATTGTTACTTTTCTAGATAATTCTAAATGACAGTAAGCAGCGTTACATATTTTAGCTTACACAAATTACTGTGATGATATTTTATAACATATTGTGTTCAAATAGTTTCTGAGATTTCAATAGTGGACTAATCTATTGACCTTTAGCCCCTAGGAGCACAACTACACAAACCGGAAGTGAGCAGAGACTGGTGCAGACAGTTCATGGGTGGAACTTCAACTTGTAAGAAAGTACGTTCATTGATGAGAAAAAATACTGCGGAAAAGGTATGATTTTCTTCATTTCAGACAGTTTCTCTACGGAATTACAAAGGTCCGTACCGGTCCCGCAATAATTGAGCGGTCATGCACCTTTCCAAACAACATTTTCTCAGATATTTTCTGGTTCAAAATTTGTATTTGATTTTGAATACTGAAGATATACTGAACATATGTTCTTAACGTTCACGCAAATACCCCAGTTTTGGATAGTCGCTGTGGTTATCAAAGATACAGCCAGTACACCATCAGTGTTATTTTCTGATGGTATGAATTATTAATTTGAGATAATGAGATAGATTCCATATGCATCATCACTAATTGTTGTCATTATCACCATTTTTGAGGGGGGCTCATCACATCACTGGAAGACTGTCCCTTGCTCTGAGATCCTTTGGCCATTCCTGTAAAACTGTGATGTTGACCTTTTGCGTTTTCCCTATGTTTAGAAGATCATCCGGGGGCCCTGCATGCCCTTTTTCGAAAGGCATAATCAGGCCATTAAAGTCTTCGGAATTTGTAGGCAGCTGCCCAAAATTATTGTCATTCATTACATTAGCAGTAAGGAGTAATTGTTCATAATCAGCTGCTGCTCTGAGAATTTAACGTAATTTTGCGTAATTCGTAATCACTACCTCCCCCATGCAGGCCCTCTAAGATGTGGACATAGCTTGGAGACAGAAGAACTCCCGTGAGACACACCCAGAGTTGCAGACATGGGAACACTTCAGAAGTTCCTGGTGGTTTTTGGGATCTGCTGTGGAGTCTGGAGCATCGTTAGGGAGAACCAGACGGCTCATGAGCAGAGAAGAGAATTGGTGGACTGGCTCAAGCAGCGGCAGCTGGACAAGTACAGCCAGGTCCTCCTGGAGATGGGTAAGGAGGGGCGGTGGAAACAATGCTGATGTTAAAAAGATGTATCTTTCAGTGTGTCCTGGCTGTCGGGCAATCTGACTCACGGTCGGGCTGATACGACGGGTGATACGGCATACCCTGTGTTGTATTCTATATGTATGAGTCATGTGTGTGTTCTTTTGAATGTGACATTTTTTCCTCCATACTCTACTGCTACATTTGCACCTTGGTAAATTTAAGGCCATAGGTGGATAATCAAATTTAAATCTATTCGTGCGTTTTTTCCAGAAATCACTTCCCCCGTGCAGTTTGCAGAAATGGACTACCTGCCGCAGCATGCCGTCTTCAGGAAGCTGAAAAGCCACGTGCAGCTGCAGCTGTCACAGGCGTCGCAGCAGCTGAAGGAATACCTCATTTTACGGGAGTGGCTACAAGAGAAAGGACTAGACCACCACCTACAGCGGTCAGTATAGTATTGCTCGTACTGTAGGATATATGAAATCTGATTGAATAACGGACCTTCTCATTGTTAATGGAGATTCACAAAGCATATCAACATAATAGACTGACAGTGCAGTGTATAGGTATGGAGGTAGAAATAGATGTAAGAATGATATTATCACATGGCAGTCTAATTTCAACCCTTGCTGCTATCCTCCCTCATATCCACATCAACAAATCTCCAAACAGAATTCTTCCAATGGCTGACTGCGATACTATCTTGGCTGGCAGTTACAACTTTATCACCTGATCCAGAAGATCTGCTGGGAGATTATAACCTTAATTATCACATGGTGTTTCCATCTGCAGATTGTATACTGAAGGAGTTGGAAGCTTAGATCAGGCATCAGCACATGTGGTGGACAGACACGCCCAGCGGAGTGGTACTGGCGATGGTGCCGAAGTGTTGGATGACTTTACCAAGCTCCAGAACGTCCTCAAGTCCCTGTCCCAGCAGCAGCTGGAGGGGCAGAAGAGACGTCTGTGGGAGAGAGTGTCTGCCAGGCACGCACGCACCACGTGGAACGTCGGTAGGGGTGGTAGGCTGTATACTGTAAATTCATTTATTTTTGGGGGGAATTGATTTTGTCAAGAACTATATTATATCCTTTTATCACTAACATGTTCATTGATGGCCCAATCTGCAGGTGGAATGGTAGTATTTGCCACCAGCGTGGCCCTGGTGTACACCTGGGTTTCCAGTAACTATGAGTACCTTACGGAGCACCCCCCTCCCGCACGTGGGCGTGCCCGGCTCTATGAGTACATCACAGGTAGCTTCCTGGACCCTGCCAGGTGCTATGTGAAGTGGGGATGGAAAGAACCACAGGCCGTCGGAGAGACTCTACAGTTTACCATCCAGGTACAGTTTTTGACACGTCTTTGGAGGGAGTTTTTGACTTGATGTCTGTGTGTGTTTCTGTAGGTTTGTGTGTATATATGTGTGTCTGTTTGTGTATGTGTGTGCCTGTCTGTGTGTCTATGTGTGCGTTTGTCTGTCTGTGAACATGTGTGTGCCTTTTGATTCCTAATACACTGTACTTGTACACCATGCAATGTTACGATACAATGTACATCCTCACAAAATGTGCTCTTTTAATGTTATTCTGTGATTGTAACTTTTGTAACTAGGTTTGACTGTACATACACATGTATGAACAAAGAAACATTTGACCTGCTCTATCCCTGTTTAGTTCTACCAGAGGAATGGCATGGCGTACCCCATCTCCGACCACGAGAACGTTCTGGTGGAGATTCTGCAGGGTTCTGCCCAGGTCTCGGCCTACGTGGAGGTGGGAAGTACAGAGAGCCTGAAGGCACACACTGCCCGGGTCACGTTCACCGTCCGTAGGGCTGGCACCTACAGAATAGCAGTCATGCTGGGGGCAGGGATCCACATATCCGGCAGCCCATTTAGGAAGGACTTTGTGCCTGGTAAGATACACAAAAAAAGAGTTTTGTTTAATCATATCTGCCATTTGACATCACCATTAACAGAAACATCCCTGCTCTTCCAAAATCAACTGCTAGGGAGCCTAAACCCATAAAAGCCAAATTCAAAACCATAGCATGTCCAGGAAAACAGGTACATGGACACCCCCAAAGGTACATACATACATCTATATATATGCTTAAATTTTCTCTTTGATTACCGGTATGCAAAGTTGGTCCTATTTTGCCTTATTTTGCATTTCATTGTGTACACATGTGTTTGTGTCCAGGCCCAGTGGTGGCAGAGAAGACAGGGTTTGTACACCACAGCTCCACGGTGGTCCTGACAGAGGGAGAGTTCTTCCCGCTTGTCGTCCAGCCACGTGACCAGTACGAGAACATCTGCTACCAGACCATTGAGCTCAACCATGGCAGTGGCTACAATCTCCAAATCACCCCAGTAAGGATGCAGCATGGATATCTGACAAGACATAATTTTATTCAATCCCTTCATTGCAGCACCAGTATATGTTATTTTAAGGCTGAAGAGTTCTAAGTCAGTCCAGAGAAACATGTCACTATGAATTGGTGACCTGGAATGGAAAAGAATGTGACCAAGAGGCCCATCATCAAAGTTGTCCTTTTTAGGCATTACCGGGCCCCCAGGATTTTTTAAACTGGCAGTTAAGATCAACCCCTGCTGACCCCTCCAGGGGAACACAAAGGAAAATTTCAATCATGCTCACCCAGGCCACACCTGATACAGACACGGGTGCAGTTGTTAACAATGATAAAACAGCAACACATGTATTATATGTGTGTTAATCTGTGCTTCCAGGTTGGCAACAGAGACTCAGCTACTGACCCCATCAAACAAAAGCTGTCAGTCATATCAGACGATCAGACCAAACAAATTGTGATGTACCTCAAACTGGACACTCTGGGCTCGTACAAAGCTGTGGGCACCTACAAGGGCAGCAGGTTAAAGAATGGCGAATTCAACATACTGGTTTTGTCAAGTAGGTGTTTAAATGTATATCTGTTGTGCCACAGCATACTTAACAAGAAATTAGAGATTTCAGACTTTTGGGAAGTATTTTGGGTTTTTGTAAATGCATTGAAACTGTGGAGGGGATTGTATGATGTACAATGTAATTTAATCAGATTTTTTCCAAAATTTCCCCATATACTACCCACTTACTCCCACCTGGTAGATGCTGGGTCACCTTCAGGTGTTTTTTTAGTTACCATCAGAGCTTACATGTGTCTTTTTTTTTACTTTTCAGAGACTGATTCATCCACAGTACAAAAGAATGTTGCTAAGAAGAGTTTAAATGTTTGGTATGAGGCATACCTACTGCTGGCGGGGGAGGGAAAAAAAGCAAAGAAGGTGTACTGTTATATTTCACCAAAGGTAGGTGCATCTGTTTTCTTTATTTTGATATTTATAGTGGTGTCAACTAGTCGTGTGGCTAGCTTAGCACGAGATTAATAGACCGTGGGTTTGATTTTAACATATTGTCGTTCAGGCCTTACCTATGTTTTGTTTCCTTCCAGCAATTAACAGTTCGAGAATTCATTCTAAGGATCATTCCCAGAAGGCTGTACACTTTCAGAGTGTGCCCCTCCACCAAGGTAAGACTTTATCTAGTGTGTACTTTGGATGTACCTGGTAGAATACACCATTTAACACAAAAAATCAGAGATATCAAACCTCCAGAAAGTTACTACATGTGTTTAGAGTTTTTTTGTGAATTACTGCAGTTGTATTTGTGTATTGACTGGTACCACACACATTTTTAATACAAATGTAAGTGTAAAAGAAATAATGGCAATGGTTTCTGAACAGTTTTTCAGTATTTCGAGCCCTAAGTTCATATGTCACATCAACTGATGACGTGACTCCCTCCATGTGTTGCAGTTCACATTCAGTGGCCTACAGAACAGCCATGAGTTCCCTTCCTTCACCGTGGATGACGGCTGCCAGCCACCTGTACACTTAGCCTGTAAGGACAGGAACGTGCTCGCAGCTACATTCTCACAGTTCCTCCTCAAAAATATCGGTAAGGGCAACGCCACATTTGTGGTTGGTCACCGTACAATTTTTTTGTTGTCATATAGCATTTTAAAGTGGGCTGTGACAGAACCAACTGCCAGAAATGCTAAATTGATAACCATTTCTATAACACAACAGCTGAATTCTGAAGAACACATGTACAACTATCCCAAAAATACTCTCAGTTTGCAATCCTACGACAATTGTACGAAAATGTCTAATGCCTGAATGAAAGGACAAGATTTGAATAAAAGAACAAGGGATACAAAAACTTTCAACTGCAATTACTAAAATGTACCTGAATGTTGCATCTTTTTCCTCAAACAACCAGGCAAGAATTTTTTGTATAGCTGATTTTTATAATATGTACAATTTTTATGTCTTAAGTTTGTATATTTGAGGCTGCAATATATGTTTCTTCTCCTTTCTTGCCACTAGGCGGTTCAGAGACTTTCAGTGACAAGCAGGAGTTTTTCTACCGTGAAGTTCGCAAGTCTCACTGTAAAAAGGCCACCTGGTCTTCCAACGTCATGGTCAAGGTCAACAGGCGGGACCTGCTGGATAGTGTAAGCTAATAAAGCTTTTCAGGAAGACCTAACAAGAATTCTGGCTCAGGTTGCAATAATTCTTTGGAGAATTCATTTTGGCAGAATTCTGCAGAATTGGGTGTCATCAATGGACTTAACATATTAATCAATCTCATTTTTACCTAATGCACGTCTGTGGTATTAAGCCATTTTGGATTAAACTTGCTGAAATGTGGGATGTAATTCCCAACTTAAATTGGAGGATGTTAATATGCATTATGTTTATCTCTCCTAGTCCATGAAGGCAACAAAGCACTTCTCATCCTCAGACTGGGGGAAGACATTTGTTGTGTCCTTTGATGGGGAGGAAGGTTCGTTACAGTCATGAATTTATTAAAACAATATACCGGTACCAGTAAGGATACATTTGACAAAACACATGTACAATCATGTATTTGCGTATAAAGTATGGTTAACAGTCTGTCAAATTGTTAAAAATTCTTCAGAATCTCACAAAAAATGGCTGTTTTTCTTGGTACCAGGACATTTCAACTCCAAGACATTTTGCATGAAAAGCAGCTTTCCTTTTGTATTCTTTCGATTATGGTGTCTTATTCTCGTATGCATATATGGGCTGGTTGACTTTGTTGCAGGACACAATGGTAAACTTTCATCCTTTTCATTCATTCATGTTTTCATTCATTTGGTAATGCTGTTGCTCAGGTCTGGACTGGGGAGGTTTGAGCAGGGAGTGGTTCCAGCTGGTAACGGAGGCCCTGTTCCACCCCAGCACACGTCTCTTCAGGAGGTTCAAGGATGATAATCAGGGACTGGTGAGGAACTTTCACAGCTAGCGGCATTGTCACATTCACCATTGAATTTTCATGTCATAGAATTTTCAAGCAGGCTGTGACAGAATCAATCAGCGATGTCAGTATCTTTGACAGCCTTTTCCGTGACAAAACATTGAACTTTTGTGTGAGATGAGCACAACTTTCCAAAGAATGCCCTCAGCCTGCAATTACATAGACAAGCCAAAAACTACATTCATCTTTCAATCCCTTGCAATCACTTATCCAATCCAACTACTACTGGTATCATTCTGGCAGCAAAAGCTGTTACTCTGACTGTTTAATTATTCTCAGCTATCTTCTGCTCTAGCTATCCCACTTCTGCCACCATGTAATGATTTCCCCATTTGTTATTGGGTTTATTATTTTATTATCAGTTCTCTGATGGTATTTCAAATGATGACTTGGTATGGGCTACGAGGACAGTTGGATACTTCATTAACTCTCACTCTTGAGCCTAGTGGCTTCACAAAGGATCTCTAAGTTCCTTTTCCTATACTGTGTATGTTTGTTAATTTATGTTAATTCTGCTAATCAACAGCACATGTTACAGGCCACACTTCTCGTTTTTCCCCCCAGGTGCATCCCAACCCTGACCGTCCCGCTGCTGTCACCAAGCCCAAGTACTATGAGTTTGCCGGGAAGGTTGTGGGGAAGTGCCTGTTTGAGTCGGCCAAGGGAGGAACCACCAGGCAGCTGGTGAAGGCCAGGTTTTCCAGGTCCTTCCTGGCACAGCTCATCGGACTCAGGGTCACCTACAAGGTGAGACTTTCTCTCATGGTTTGGTGGGAAAAGGGTTGACCACGTTTTCCGCCTTTATCAAAATATTTGTGAAAAAAAGTGCATAGGATTTGAATGTCTATTCTGTAAAGAATTGCATTTTAACATTTGCATGCAATTTTGAAATTTTGCATGGGATTTAAAAGTATTCAAAAGAAATATTTGTAAAAAAATCTTCATGGGATATAAACATTTCTGCACAATACTGTGGAAATGAGGGTACATTTACATGTATATCACAGAGTATGTTGCTGTAATTGCTCCCCCCAGCACTTTGCAGCAGATGACCCTGAGTTCTACAAGACCAAAGTGCAGTATATAGAGACTAACGATGTAGAGGACATGGAGCTGAACTTTACTGAAGAGGTTTATGATGTCATGGGGAAACTAGTCAAGGTCAGAAGGAACGTTAAATTTCATTTGTAGTAGATAAATACCATGACTCTTAAATGATATCTTAAGGTCATGCTCATACAAGTTTTTTGTTTCCCATATGTATTTAACTACTGCATCTAATACCACACAATGTCATGTACAAAGGCAAACACACAGACAGACACACCCAAACATAATACACTGGTGCACCATACCTGGACTAATTTTCTGCCATTCCCAGACTGCAGAGCTTGTCCCTGGTGGAGCCCACATGCCCGTCACAAATGACAACAAGCTGCGGTACCTGGACAGTCTGGCACAGTACCGGCTCGCAGCTACAGTACAGGAGGAGCTGGAATACTTCCTAAAAGGTTGGATATAGTAACTGTACATCACTCTCAGATTTACCATCCAGTATGGTCTTTTTCCGAATGGAATTTTACAAAAAATCAAAAACAAAAATGTACACACAAAAAACTAGAAATGGATGGAAAGTTTGATATTTTCACAAAATCATAACATTCATTTAACAGCATCAAATTTGCCCAGTTTGCAAATTTGCCCTGTGTGCAAGCTGTTCAGGAAGCTAGGTTGACCATGTGTAATCTCCAAGCAGATTCTGTGGGGCAAGGGGAGCATATGTTGGCCACATGTATGCATTGGCTGGGATAATGAAGCTCCAGTGTATCCATGTGGGGTGGCCAATAGGTACAGGAGGCCAATATAGCAGGCTACCTTTTCCCCACAAAATCTGCTTGCACATTAGCCCAGGTGCAAGTTAGTTTCTCAGAAATAGAAGACACCCAGCCAAAGTAAAGTGATCCCATTGCAGATGAAACAAGGGACAGAGCTTGACTGACACGCAAAGCAGGGCAGATTTAATTGTACCTCTCCCTTATTGTGCTACTTGCATGACTGTACTGTGTGATATTTTGTGCTGATGTAGGCAACATAATGTTCTATGACTGCTATTTTCTCTACCCAGGTCTGAATGAGCTCATCCCAGACAACCTCCTCAGCATTTTTGATGAAAATGAACTTGAGGTAATTTTCTCTTATTTGAACCAGGGATATATGAAAAAAAATCAGTCTGTGCTGGTTCTGCTACTTTGGTGATTTTTGATAATGAAAACCAAAAAAAGGATTGATGTGACCTGGCCTTGTGGTCCCCTGCAGCTGCTGATATGTGGGACTGGAGACTACAGCATAGCAGACTTCAAACAGCACTGTGAGATCCAGGGAGGAGCATGGGGCTTTGAGAAGGTTAGTGCTGGTGAAGAGTTTTATATCAATAGATTGACCAATGCTGGGATTAACAACGGATTTGTAGTGATAGTTGGTATTGAACCAATGTTTTTTGCGTTTGGCTAATAATCTTTTTTTTTTAATTTAAAGGTTTGGTTGGTAACCCTAATTGAATGTTTTTTGGTAACCCTAATTTATGTTTTTCTAGTAACCCTAATTTAGGGTTTTTGTAACCCAAATTTAGGGTTTTATTTACCCTAATTTAGGGCTTTTGGTAACTCTGATTTAGGGTTTTTGAATAAATTATCAGAATTTTTCTAAACTGGACACATGGTATACTAAAAGCCCCCGAGGCATCGCCAAACATGAGGTCTGTGAACTTGAAGGTCACAAAAACCCAAAATACCTTCTGGAGGTCTGAAATGTATGATTTCTTGTTAATATGAAATGTTTCAGGTACTGGACTGGTTTTGGACTATAGTGGCAAGCTTTACGCAGGAGGAGATGGCCAGGTTACTCCAGTTCACCACAGGCAGCTCCCAGCTGCCACCAGGAGGGTTTGCTGAGCTCAACCCTCGCTTCCAGATCTGTTCTGTCCCCCTCAGGGGCATGCTGCCCACTGCACATACCTGGTGAGGGATGCTTTTGTTTGTCTGCTTTTTGTTTCTTTGTTTTAAATCGCACAATTTTTTTTCAAAAGATACTACCAAAATATTGATTTTTTTATCCTTCCGATCCCACAAAAGGAACTTAATTAATGATATTACGGACCAACATGGACAGTACATTGTAGTGACATTAAACTTAAACAAGAAATTTGATAAGAGTTTTCCCTTTTTTATGTGTCAATGCTAGACAGTACTGATCAGTGTTTTTTAATTGGTGAACTGTTTTTTTTCCACCCCAGTTTTAACCAGTTGTGCCTGCCAGACTACGA